AGAGTGACAGACAGACATATAAATATTAGAAAATCAAAAAAGAAAGAATATATTTATGTAGAAAAATATTAAATGTTATAAAACCTTTTTAACATAAAGCATGAACATTTTTTTATATTATTGCATTCAAATTGTGCAGTTTAAAAATTTAGGAAACAGAATGGGATGTTCTCTTGTCATCTCGTTCATCTGTTAGCTGTTAGGTTTCTAAGGCCTTTCTGGACACGCACATTTTTATAAATGTCCCGTTCATTTTAAATGTCATAGCATTCATTTATATAACATATATTTTTATCATTTTTTATTCCACGTGACAGAGACGGAAAAGGAGTGCTTTCATCATTATTATGCGAATCTCACGAGTTATTCTTTGAATGTGACACGTATCATGCAAAGAAGATTTACGCGTTATGATGTGAGTATAGTGTGAGTTTAATACATTACTCATAGGTGATAATTTTTAAATTTTGTCTATACAAAAATGTGTTATATATCAATTTTATATCCATAACATACATACTGCTTAATCGGATATGCAGAGGCAATTTGATACTTCCACAACTGTTGAAGACGATTTCTCATCAGATATTGATCTACTAAATCCAAAGTAACGATTGCTCTAATCTTTATCCATCTATCAATTACATTTTAGAAAAGTGTAATCACTGGTCTTGTATTTTTCAAGAGTGACACAATCTTGTCAAAAACTGAGATTTGCTCGTCGACTATCAAGAAACGAGAAAAACAATCGATTAAATTTTTTTAAATTGCCATCGAAATCATTATATTGCTGTAAACATCCAGTTATTAATAATCAAATTATTGAAACAAAATTATGTAAGTGATGTAAGTGTTAATGAAATCCAAATATGCGAGTTCCAATTATGTTTGCTAAAAGAATCCATATGTTATTGATGTTTGACAAAAATGTCTGATATAGAATAATTTTGAAAAAAAGTATTCAAATTTTTTTCAAATTTTTTAAATTGTTTATTATGATTAAATTTTCATACACAAGTTATTTAATAAAAATACATTTTAGTTGCCAAAGAGATTGATCAAGTTGCTAACACGTCGCAACGTATTTCAAATATTGAATCTTCCGCATCGTATGTATGTTTGAAAAAATATGAGGTAAGATCTGAAGAATATAAAGTATATAATTTAGAATACTTTGGATTCAGACTTTCTTCATCAAAAGTGTATTAACCTTTTACACATTATCGTTTGCAATCACTATAGAATAAAGATGAATTTTAAAATATATTTTTTATCGCATTTGAATTTATAATTGTCTATTGTTTCCTATATTATACAAAAATTTTGGATTATAATATAAATTTAAAATATAAATTTTCTCTGATAATTGAGGCGCGAATGAGTTCACAAAGATAAACTATTGTTTTTGGTGGACTAATGTTTTCTAGCCACAAGTAACTTTCGAAGAAAGGTATTCAAGCAAGGGTGCAAAGTTTGAACGTAAATTCAACGACAAAATTTGGTAATTATTTAAAAAATTAAATTAAATTAAACTAGTTGTACATAATTATTCATTGCCATTAATTGCCATAAAGTAAGGGACCAAAAGGGATTTATTTTATGTCTCATTTATGATGCTTACAATATACTGTATTAATAATAGGAAAGAAAACAGTACGCCACGGATCATACGGGCCATTCGACAGAATAGCAAAAAATGTAAGTTACCTATTAAAATTAGAATATTTATTAACTTAAATTGTGTAATTTAGTTAGTTAATTTTAAAGCAGATCAATCGATAACAACCAATCAACCACAAACGGGCAACAGCAAAAACAGCGTTGTTGTACTTTATCACGGTGAGTCGAATATTCCTCCATCATCTTCGAAGGCTCTCGTGCAACTTTCGAAATCCGATCAAACAATAATAGAAACATCACGCATATCACAATTGGAAGTTGCAAGTTCTGCATCACCTGATAAGTGAGTGATATCAATTTAGCAAAAGATTATTATACAAAGAAAATAAAAAAAAAACAAAGGGAATGTTCGATGATTATATATTATATGTTTTATATTTTTACACGAAAAATATGTTAAAAGGGCAAGAATTTTAGAAACTCCGGAGATTTTGTCTCCGAAATATCCACTGCGTCGACGACAGACTTCTTCCAGAAGATATCGTCATGTATTAAGACAGCAGCCGTCTCTAAATATAAACATTTATCACGCAAATCGAGTTGAACGAATTGCATCCCCATTATATCAGTGGAATCCATCTACAAGGCAGATAGAAATAAATTTAAAACAAAAGGATCTAGAGTGTACTGCCAAGCTTTCTAAAGAGCCTGTTAAGTTGCAAGAGAGAACAGTTACTTGTGATAAACACGCAACGATTCAGAGATCATCTAAGTATATCGACGAAGAAAGAAAGAAACAATGTTCACTTGTTGAAGTCACGGCTTTAAAATCTATGGACCATTGTCCGGAGTAAATAATTTAGAATAGATCGGATAATTAATAATAGAATTAAATAAAAAGAATACAAGAACGATATAACTTTGTAGGAAAGTAAAAGTTGAGAACGCAAAAGACCGAAAACAATCGACACTTTGTTCAAGCAATCCAATGTCAATTTACCCCAAAGAAACGAGTGTTAAGTCAGCATGCATTAGCGTGAATGAAAGTGACAAAACAAATCGTGTGTTTCCTTTCCAAGCTACACCTAGTGGTAATCTCAAGATCATCCCAAATCAGGTGAGAAAGATCTCATTTTAAGAAATACTAGAATAAAACCCTTCCAGAAATGTCGGTCTCGAAGCAGACATAGCATAGTTGTTCTAGGTTGTATTTGAGTCGAAGAAATTTAGCGTTTTAGTCGCTGATCCGCGATATACAAAAGTCAACATTAAGGCCGAGGTTAATCGACCTGGTGCTGATGTCAGCACACCTGTTTCTGACTCTTCGAATCAAACAAAATATATCGATCTCCCACCTGGCATCACACCATCGGCGATCGATCGGTTGCAGGTAAAACTCAAATGTCTTATAATTATTCTCCTTATATTGTTTAAATGTTATATTTGTGCAATAGGCTCAGAAGAAGCTACCTTTTGTTGAAGGAAGCTATAGATCACGAACGCAATCAAGTATAAACTTCAATCCATCAGAAATGGAACAAAAACACTCGATACGATCAACGTCTCATCAACTTCTTCCAATAGACGAAGTGCCACTTGCCTCGTTAGTTCTCTTAAGTTTGACAATAATTTAATAATAAAATTTTAAGGAGATTGAATATGTCAATTTTGCAAACCTTGCAATTTTTATTTATTTTTATTCCAATCTTTGTTATTTTCTATTTTTGACAGATTAGGATTTACGAATGAACAACCAATTAATTGGAATAATATAATCCTTCCAGAGAAAACTGACTTGTATCAAGAATTAGCTAAACGTATTATAAATTACAAGTAAACAAATCTTATATAAAACTTTTAAATTAATTTTTTTACAAGTACTTATATATTTTAAATAAATATCTTTGATTTGCTTAGGGACAAATTTAAATTGTATAATAACATATTTTACCAGTAACAGTTTATTAAAAATTGGATTATATGTTTAAGCAAACATTTTTTTTTATTTGTGTGTTTTGCCAAGGAATGCTGACTGTATCGTTCGAACGGATCATGATGAGTTTCACTGCCATCTTCTTGTTTTGCAAAGTTACAGTACATTTTTCGACGAGAAAAATTACAAGGAAATTGATTTATCTGGCGTAAGATCTTATTTAGATTGTACTTGATTAAATATTAAGTAAAAATATTCTTTATAAATATTTTTAAAATTAATAAAAAAATATATATATATATATATATATATATATATATATATATATATATATATAATATATATATATATATA